ATCTGTATCTGTAGCTGTAGCTGTAGCTGTATGCTGATTGATTTGAATTGAATAATTGCAATTGTGCTTGCCCAGTATTCCCTCTATTTGCGAACCCACACACACAAAAATGACTAGTACTCATGCTGATGATGTATTTGCTCTTTGAATTGAAACTAATGACAAGAAAATGGTGCTCTTTTGGTATGGGGGTGAATCGGTGATTCGATGGACAAGTCAATCGCAACAACCAAATATCCCTTGAACACGCCACACACACCTGACTGGATGGCTGGCTGGCTGGCTGACTGGCTTACCCGCTTCATTTTGGCAGCACATCCGCACAGGCAGCCACAATTGAAATTGAACTTTTGCTTTGATTGGAAAAAATCATACTAAATTCGAATAATCGCCAATAATTTCGGTTCGGCTTGATTTCAATTCAAGTTCCGGACATTCGACAAGCAGCAAACAAACAAAACACAACAACAACAACAAAAAGAGCAATAAAAACCATCCATGATCGTACAACAAAAATATGGGAATCAAAATATGAAATCTATTCTATTTTTGTGGTTAATCATAATGAGATTTAAATTAATAGAAATCTAAAATAATTGGGGGGGCCTTGCCTCTAATCAAAGATTATGGCCACAGAGAGCACCGAAAGAGAGGCAGAAAAACTCTCGGGCAAAGGCAAAGGCAAAGGCAAAGGCACAGGGATCGGAATCGATGAGATGTTTAAACAGTTGCTGAAGAAAAAAAAGAGCTGATCTGGTTTTTGGCTTCGCTTGTTTGAGTGGGTTTAATTTTAGACCATTTGCGTTAGACATTTGATGGATTTTCCGCTTGATTTGCATTTAAAAATAACATTTCATTCTCCTCTCCAGCACCCAGCTACCAGCCCCCCGCCCAGAATGGATGTTGTTGTCTCCTGTCCATTGTCTTTCGGCATGTCGGGCATTCAGCCAGTGTGTCCAAATATTTAGTTATGTCAACACAAAACCGTGACATGTACCAAAGAACTTCCACCCCTTACTGCCTGTTGCTGTGCTCCTCCTAAAAAAAAAATTCCTGCTGTCGGGTTTTGCCTCTGACGTAGATTGGCCAAGCAAATAATAACTATCTTTTAAGTGCGAGACACTCACGATTGCTCCCATATGTGGCGGGAGTTCAATTTAAATTCGAATTGGTTGAGGAAAAACCATCCATCAATGCGTGTTACATTCATTTTGATAGCTGCTCATCATTGGTCTCGAATCGAAACGAATCGAATCGAATTGAATATGCCGATGGAGCAGTCACGCGATGATAAGCACAAAATCGAATTTTGTGCACGAGAAATTATGATTATTTTCATTATTATTATTATGTTTACGATTATCTATCTGTGTTTAGAGCGTGGAGAGGGGTCGAACAGTTATGCTGGTCCGCTGAGATGCGGGACGGGAAGTGTGTGTGCTCGACCCTCGGCCCCTTATCACTCCCGATGCCTGTCCACTTGGCCAATGTAGTTTTAATATTATTAGATTTTAAGCAATACCTAAGGGAACTGTTTAACCGCATCCATCAATCGTTTCCCAGGGCTCGCTCTGCACTTATCAATGAATGGAGAGGAATGTGCCCGACTGACTCTCCACTTGATGGATTTGTGTTGCTTTTGTTTCTCAATGCTAATCGGATATGAATGAATATACATATACACATCACCATACATCTGGTTGTAGTGTTAGGATAAACAACACAAAATCCTAACCACTAAACAAAGTCATAAAAAAATGATTTCGTTGGTGGTTTTTTTCTTCGTGCTGTGTTGTGTTGTTGTTTCCATTTAGTGCATAAAATAAATACATAAATGTTGAAAATGTGTGTCGATAAAGAATTCCTATAAATATACACAAATGCAGATAACACTATGAACAAAAAAAAGAGAAAACAAAAATAACAAAAAGAAACTGAAATCGAAACTGCGGTTGCAAAATGTTTAATATATTCTTTTTTCTACTCTGTTTCCCTCTCTAGTTTTTCTTCTGTTTTGTGTGTGTTTTTTGTTTGTGGTTCCGCTATTTGTTGTTTGTTTTTTGTGTTTTTTGTTTGCCGCGTGATAAAGACAATCATTTTTGGGGCAACGAACGTGTCATTGGGGTTTTAGGGGCAACCAAATCCAGATATAAAAAAACATATATTTTAGCCGACAAATCGAAGCGGAAGTTTTTGTATTTTGCTAATTTGTTGTTCTGCTTTTTTGAGCGTTTAATTTTTGTTGTTTGTGTGTTTGGTTTTTGCGATGCTTAATTTTAGCCCTGGCCAAATGGAGGCGAGCACTTTGTCTATAAAAATGCACTTCTGCGAAAAAATAAACACATGCCTCATAGCCAAAACAAACGGAGAAGCCCGACTGCAGACTGGGGATCCGGCCAGATGGGATCCCAAAGAGTGGCAGGGAGGGGTGCTGCTGCTGCTGCTGCCGCTGCTGCCGTGGCACTCTCGTGACTCTAACAACAAACAACTGTTGCAATTCCATTTAACATAATTTCTGTGGCAGCCACCGCTCACCGCACACCGCACTGCACTGCACTGCACCGCTCTCTGGCATCTCATTCCTGTCGATCATCTTTTTTGGACGCTCGAGGACACAGAAAATATTGTCGCATATTTATGAACATGTGTAACAGATAAATCTGAATCTGAATCTGTTGCTTATAGACAGACGAGACACTCATGGATACACTCACACACACACACTCGCTGATGCACTCACATAAGTGATTTAGTTGTCAGGCGAGTGCATTTATCACAGCCTGCATGCGAATGAGGGAGTGAATGTGTCGCAGTGACTGCGGTTCGGTTGGGTGTGGGGAATTGGACCTAGGACTAGGCTGGCTGGGGACTAGGACGAGGGCCGGGTGGCCAGGGGTTGGGGTCGGGGCGCCAGTAATCAAACTAATGAGCTTGGGCCCACCAGCAGGCAGGCAACAGGCAGGCAGGCAGCAGGCAGCAGCCAGCGACAGAGCGGCAAAAATAGCTTTTAATGGATTTCAAATAAGAAAACGCGCATAAAACGCAAACAAAACGCAGGCTAAAAGCAAAAGCCGCCTCACCAGTGCGCTTCGGACTGGGTTGGGTGGCACTGGGTGTCTGGCCAAGTGAAGTGATAAAACATTAAAGAAATGCTCTGCTCTGACTGCTGCTGCTGCTGCTCGTCTTTGGAGGCTTTCGACTCGACTTTGGGCTTCTTCTTTAATTTTTTTATTTTTTTGTTTCTGTGTGTGTTGTGTTTCTTCTTCTAATTTGTGTTGCAGCAAACACCTAGGGGTTGCTAATGGAAGCTGCTGGTGCTGCCTCTGCTGCACTTAATGGCAAATGATAATGATTGATGCTGAAATGCATCCTCCTTCAGCGCTACCCCGAATCCACACAAAAAGCCACACAAAAACACTTCAAGTCGCAGCTTTCCTTCAAGGGTGCTGCACGGCAAGGATGTGGCTTGCTCTTTCAAGGCGATAAGCAATCATTCAATGCGGTGTGGCGGGCGGGGTGCCACACGTTTTGCATTAGAGAAATTAGAAGGAAACTCCGCTGGGTGGTTGCTTGGAGGAGCACCAAAATATGCACCGAAACAAGCAGCAGCAGTAAATGTGCAGAGTTGCAGGGAATATCCAGGGAAGGGTATTGCTTGGAGCTCCCATTGACATAGCTCATTGGACATGCCATCCCTTGGGGAGCTACAGCCAGCGCTCTCTCGCCCTGCTGCACTCACTCATTGTCTTCTCCCTCGCCTGCCAGCAGTGTAAACAAAGGCATTCAACAAATTTGTAGGCGTAAAAATTGTCTTGTCAATATTTTAATGATATCACTTTACACCCAACCCACTCCATGGCCTGCATTGTCCCTGGTCCCTGGTCCCTGGTCGTGTCCTTGTCCTTGTCCATGTCCTATCCCATTCTAACCACACTCTACCCCTTCGGCCGCCAAGCCGCCTCTCCTAAAACCCTGTGAAAAAAGTTTCATTTTAACTTTTCTTCTTTTTTTCTGCCCTTTTTGTTGTTGTTGTTGGTTTTTGACTCCCAGATCCACACGGGACGCGGCTGTATTTTTCCCCTTGTTTATTTTTTTCAGAGTCTTTTTCCTTCCCTTTTCCCTACTCTTTCTCCTGCTTTCTGCTTTCTGCTCTCTGCTTCTTGTTCTTGGGCGTGTAAAGAAGAAGTCAAAAGTCCCGTTACTTTTCTCTCCCTCTCTCTCTCTACCTCTTCGTGTCCCTGTTTCTCTGTCGCTCATTTGTTTGCCTTGTATTTTGGTTTTTTTCTTTCGCTTTTTCCTTTTTGTGTTTGGGTTTCAGTTTCGGTTTCTGTTTCTGTTTCTGTTTTCTGGGGGGCAACATTTTTACTGTTTGGCTAGAAAATTACAAGAAAAGTGTTCTAACAAAACGGTGGCAACGGTGGGGGGGCTGAAGCTGGTTTCCCTGAAGGGGGTGTTTGCTTATTTGTGCAAGTGTTTTCTCAATTGTGCGTGTTGCCTGGTCAGAGACGGGGGTGGAGAGGCAATGGCAATGGAGAGTGAGCGAGGGTCAGTCGTGCGTCGTCGTCTGCGGTTGGAATTTCTTTCCCTTTTCCCCTTTTTTTGCATCCTTTTCACTCTCGGAATTTGCCAGCTGTGGGCGGCAACGTTTGTCTAATCTTAACGGTTTTACATTTCATTGCGCCGGGTAATTGTCTGCAGTAGGACGAGAAGGAGCGCCTCGACGACGACGATGCTGCTGATGGAAGCGGGCACAGACGGCCCTCTAGTTTATTAAATTAAAAAGTCACTTAAACTGGCTCTGTGGAGGGGGGGCATTCCATGCCAGAGCAAGGATTAGCTGGCTGCTGCAGTTCCAAGCAAATTCTAGGGGTTATCCCATTCCGAATCCCTCTTTTCCCTCAAAATTAAAGCTAGCCTTTCGCTTATGGGCACTTTGAGCAGTGCATCAAACTTGCAAATGAAGCTGCCAACTTAGCATAAATTCTTAGATGAAAACTTACCTCTTTGTCTTTGGCAGCAATTTGCACAGCGTGCTGATTGTTGCTGTTGCTGTTGCTGTTTGTGTTGTTGTTGCGCTTCCTGCGCTGCTTCTCGCTGTTGTTGTTGTTGTTGCTGGTATTGTTGTTGGTACAGTCATCATCCTCGGCACTATGAACCGATGCTGCCACATGCGGATCATCCACATCATCATCATCATCATCATCATCATCATCATTGCTATCACGCATTGCCACACCCGGGCCGACGCTGTTGCTGTTGCTGTTCTTTCGACTACAACTATTATTGCTATCGGTATTGTGATTATTGCTAACATTTAAACTAGCTTCCTCATCATCTGCCACAGTCTCCGAATCGCCAGCAGCGGCCACAGCAGACACCTCCTCCGGATCGCCAGTCGCCGCATGCCTCTGCCGCTGCTGATGCTGCTGCTGCTGCTGTTGGTGTTGGTGTGGTTCAGTTCTTGCCGCAGATTCGATGGCCTCCAGGGACTGATGGGGCTCCAGCTCCATGTCATCGTCATCATCGTCCAAATGCGCTGCATTCGACTGCATGGAGGCGTTCTCCTCCTCATCATCCTCTTCATCGTCCTCGTCCTGCTCCTCATCCTCGTTGTGGAGGTGACTGCCACGGCTCCTCCTGCCGCTGCCGCTGCTACTGTTGGTGGTGTTGCTGCTGCTGGTGGTGTTGGTCGCTGTGTGGGTGGTGGTGGTGGCAGTGGCCTCGGTGGCCACCGTTTGATGATCTGTGGGTCCCACAGCCGACGCTGCGGCTGCTGCCTCCGCTGCTGGGGAATGCAGAGGCGAATGCTGATGTTGCTGTTGGACAGCCGCCGCCGCTGCTGCTGCTGCGGCAGCTGCCGCCGCCTCCATCATCATTTGTTGGGCGTGATTGAAGAAGAGCTTCGGATTGAGGCAGGCGCCGCCGACACCACCACCGTTCTGCTGCAGGCTGCTCTGCAACTGTTGCTGCTGCTCGGCGCTGAGCAACGGCGGCGAGGGCGACGGCGTGTTGGTGTTGGCCAGCAGATTGCCGCCGTTCTGCTGCAGCGTGATGGCCGCTGCAACAATGGAGCTGTTCAGCTGATGGCCAGATCCAGATCCAGCGCCTCCGCTGGCCAATTCCAGATCTGAATCCTCGATCTCCTGTACGCCTGATTCCCCTTCTGCTGCTCCTGCTCCTGCTCCTGCCACTGACGCTCCTGTGTTGTGGTTGTGGCTGTTGTCGCTGTCGCTGTGGATGCTGCCGCTGGCGGGATCCGTGTTGCTGGTGGACAGTTGCTCCTTGAGTGTGTTCACTTCCTTCTCGGCAAGGGTAGCGCGCTGTAAGCAACACAAACAGAGAGAGAGAGAGAGTGGGGAGATTAGTTATGGAGCTGCCACACATATGTTTGTTGGGGAGAAAAAGTTTAAAAGTTTCACCGCACAACTATCGACCCTCATTAATTTTACTTTTAAAGTCATTACGGGTTAAATTTAGCCAAATTAATACGTTGCAAAAACTTTTGTTGCACACACACAGACACCAATGGACACTCCAAGGACTCAGACGGAAGGAAGGCTTAAAAAACATTCCATGGGTAATGCCGTCTGCATTAGCAACCCACCAGCAAAAAAAAACAAGAAGCAGGACTACGAAAAGGAGTAGAAACAGCAGCAACAAATTTATAGTTTATCGTTTCGTATCGATAAGCCTTGAAACTTGAACATTGGAGGCGGGAGGCGGCAGGCGGCAGGCCTGACCTTCAATGCCGCAAGAGGAGGCACCATCACTTGGCAGCAGCAATCCTCGCAGAAGGAATCGAAAATTAAAACAAACCAAAACACACACAGAGAGCAAAAAAAAACAAGCACGACCCAACACAGTGGAAAAGAAAGGCTGGGGCGCAGGCGAGAGAAGGTTACAAAAATATGCGGTGTAAACTTTTTTGGCAAATTAGTCTGGGATTCCAGGAGCCGCCTGCGGCCTGCCCGCCCGTACCCATTCCCGACAAGTTTTGGGGCTTCTCCTTCAGGGCAGACCCCAAAGCCAGGATCTAAGCCCCACAAATGGCAATGACTTTTACGGCTCTTTGGCTTCGATTTTCATGTTGATTTGTACTTGTTGTTGCTGCTGCTGCTGCTCGAGCTTGGGCTTGGGCTTGGGCTTGGGGTTTTGTGCAATTTTATTTGTATAAATACCGGAAGCTAACAAAAAACAAACCAACAGAGTGCAAGGCGGGGGGCGGGAGGGACAGTTTTTAGGGTTCTAACAGGGCGTTGCAGGCAATAAAGAACTTTGGAAATTAGTCGATGGCACCCAGGCCCCAGAGCCACCAAAAAGCTGCCACAGCCGTTCCTTGGGGCACAAGTTCTATTCCATATCGATGAAGAAGTTAAGCAGGAAGTCGTTACATACGAAAAGGGTGTAAGGACCTCACCAATATTTCGATGGCTGTAAGGATAGTCAAACCCATTCCCATTCCCATTCCCATTCCCATGAAATGGTTTTGCAGTTGAAGTTTGGAATAAGATATTCAATGCTGATTCTTGAATGTTTTTTTAAGAGTATTTTCTAAGCAATGAACGAAGGAAACACACCAAAAACAACATGCATGTCGTGTACATTGATCCTCGACTCTGTCCCCTGGCTCCCCACAAACAATCGATGGGCAGGCATGGGGCTGCTGTCCTGTCGCTTAATGACAATATCCCTGGGAAAAGCAAATCATTTTTCTTATACCCTTCCAGGCATGTATTTGTCATCGTCATCATCATTATGCCGCTGACTGGGGGAGTCTCTCTCTCTCTCTCTCTCTCAACTCTCTCTGTGTGGAGTGCAGATATATATTTATGATATTTAAAAGCTCTTAAGTACAAACAACAGACACAAGCGGTTGCCTCTCATGGAAGCTGCTGCATTTTCGTGTCCTTTCAAATGCCAGACATTCGAGAGCCCAGACAACAGGCAGGCAGCAGACAGGGAAGAGACAGGACACCAGTGCCCGGGTCTCGGTCTGTGCCTGGGGCAGGGGTTTCCTTCCCGTTTGGTTGTAGCAATTCTGGGGGCTTGTTTGGTTTGTTTGTTGCCATTCCATGAGCTGCTTAAGCTTGAAAATTGTTTTCATAATGGCTGATGATGACTACGACGAAGCGAAGGATACTTTTTGCCACATTTCTTTTGGGTTGACTTTATGCCTGGCGAGGAATCGATCAATGGCTGTCCAACTGCGCGACGACTCTTAAACTGCGGGTTGCTCCGTCCGGAACCTGGCCCTGGTCCTGGCGCCCAATGAAATGCAATCCCCGTGGGAACGCCAACACTTGCTCTGGACATTCCCGGCTCTTGGAAAATAGTTCGCTCTCTTCTCTCGTCTGGCAGCTACACGTTCTTTTTCGTTTTTTGGCAAATCAATTAATGGAAACTTTGGTGAAAGGTTTGCAGCAGGCAGCAGTCTCCTTTGTGTGCCCCAAATTCGAGGAGGCCCGAGTCCGGCTTAGCAGTCGGTACGGACAACCAAATGAGTTAATTAACTAAAATGCGGGTGGCTTTGGCCCAAACCAAACCGAACCGAACCGAACCGTTCGGTTGTGTTCCCTTTTTTTTTGTATATATATTTTTGGGGCCCACTTCAATGGCTCTCGTGCCCCATGGTCCATGCCCCATGCCTCGTGTGTGTGGTCAGCTTATGGCAGAAAAGGCTTTCCCCATATTGAGCACCCTTTTAGCGTCCACTCCTGGAGCATTTTTTGTTGGGTTTCCTTTAATATTTTTTGGCCTGGTTGCCACTTCAAAGGAGCGCCACACACACACACACACACACACACAAAAATCTCTCGCGCGCACAAACCCAAAAAATGTTAAGTGAAATGTTGGTGCCTCCTCCATCCCCGTTGCCCAGCTGCATGCCAGCTAACCGCCAGCTCAGTTGGGCATTACTTTAACTGGCAGCAAGCGTAAATGCCAGAGATCATTCGATGGGAATTGTATCAACTATTGGCTCTGTGGCAGGAGACTCCCGTTGCTGCTTATACTTTTTTTCCTCGCGTTGTTCCTGTCGTCGCGCTGTTTGTCGTGTGCTTGGCACATGTCAACTCTTGCGCTTGCCCCTTTCCACATGCGGAGTTGCAGCATGCGGCATTGTCTCAAGCTGTTTGTCTGAAGTGAGTTTTCTGTTGTGTGCTTGTGTGCTTGTGTGCTTGTGTGTGTGTGTACGTGGCTGCCTCAAGACTCGCGCACGCAAGAGGCTCAGGGGCGACTCCACGACTCCAGGAGCTTGAGCTTCCAGCAGCAGCAGCTGTCAGGACTTCAGGGGGTAGAGCACTTTTTGTAATTAGTACGAAGGCAATGTTATGAATTGTGTGCTTCAGCTTAAGCTCTCGAGTGCCCCAGCGAGCCTTCTTGTTGCCGCAGGGGCAACCCCTTTTTCAGTTTCAGTTTTTTTTGCTTTCTTTCTTTCTGTGCGGCGACATTCGAAGGGGTAATACGGCGGCAAAGAAGATTGCAGCACATTGTGCGGTTTTTGGACAATAAATCAAAGCAAATCAATGCTGCAACAAATGATGTTGATGCAGCCAAGGGGGTTGTGTGTTCGATATGGCAGGGGGTTCGAGTTTGCTCCCTTTGAAGCCCATTGCCGGTGGGTTTGGGCTTTCCCCCCGTACTGCCACTTGAACGCCTACTGACATGACATGATGGGACGTGGAAGGGAGTGGTGTTGCTTTGGCTCCAATCGAAAGGAGACAGTAGGCAGCATTTTCACAATTACACACACATTAAAACAGAGAGAGAGAGAGAGAAAGAGAAAAGAAAAATCGCAAGAAGAAAAAGCGAAGAAAAGCGGAAGGAGAAAAGTGTTTAAAAGTAAAGGGAAGGCCTGCATGTGTGTAACAGAAAAATCTGTAGCCTGACATTAGGCGCAGAGACAAAGCCTTGGCATGGCCCATCGCTTAAGTGGCGGGAGGGAGGAGGCCTCTGTGTGTGTGTGTGTGACAGCAACAACAAATGCCAAAAGGAAGAAGCAGCATGAGTGTACACATCTTTATGTTTGTGAAGGCACGATAGGCAAATGACAGCTGAAGAGGGAGTGGGTGGAACAGGAGGAATGAGTGCAAAAAAAAGGAGAGCGAGCACAGGCACAAGATGGGAGCAGAGACAGGCAGGACAGAGATACAAAGTGACATAAAAAACGATTGAAAGAAGAGCATTAATAGAGCAATCAATGTATAACACCGTATATCGATCATTTATCGATAGGTTAGGGATGCTTTAAAATCCAGTATTTCCAGTTGTCATGGTTAACCATCATCCACCACCTATTTACCCATTTATCATTGTTTGTTCTCTATAAACTATTCCACATTTCCATGATCTCTGCAACTATAAACTTTTTCGATCGATTTGTATTCCTTCTCTATCGATAACTCATCACAGACCACGCTGTTTGCCTTCGTTTTCCATTCGATTTTGAATGAAAGAGCAGAGGAATGCGGCCACAGCATATGCACTTTGGCATCTCCTGCCCTCTGGGATCTGCTCTTAAATTCCCATTCCACCACTTGATTAATAATCCCCACCCCCAGCATTGCATATTTACTGGTAAGCCGCTCAACTGTTATCCATTAATTACTGCTCCTCCTGCAGCTGCTGCTGCTGCTCCTCCCCCTCCGCTCGGCTGTTGCTGCTTCTTATCCACTAAATACGAGTCCTGCTATGAAAGTGCGCTGCCTGCCCCATGCCTCGTGCCACCGTATTATTCTTTGGATTCGGGGCATGCCTTTGCATTTGCTTTACAATTTCAAACATCATTAGCAACGCACACACACACACACAGAGACTGGGGGGCATGCCCTCACACACAAACGCCACACATGCTGATGCATACAGACGTGGCAGGCTATGTGTGTGTATGCATATATCCCTTTTTGCTAATTATTTATTTAAATATTAAACAAAAAATACCCAAAATACACACAGAGTGCGGAGCCCTTCCCCCAAAACAAAACAAAAAACTGCAACAAAAAAGCAGCAAAAAAGATTGAAAAGAGTGGCATGAAAATCAACACAGAGAGTGGGAGGGAGAGAAAGGGGCAACAGAAAAGACGAAACGAAATGATGTATTGATGCTGTTGCCTGCTTCTGAAAGAGGAGGCAAGTGGCACACACACACACACACACACACACAGGCAGGAACAGTGGTAGCAGCAGCAGCAGCAGCAAAAATAAGAAGCAGCTGGAGAAAGGCAGGCAGCAGGCAGGCAGGCAGGAGGAGGCAGCACAAGATAAAGTCAAAGTACAGTTGAGTGTGAAGCAAGGAGTGTGTGTGTGTGCTTGTGTGTGTGTG